ATTCCTCACAAGTTTGTTTGCGTCCGTCAGACTCTTCACCTTCACCTTACAATTGGGACTCAACCGTAGAAAAATATATTCCGACCAATACTGAATGCAGTGTGGCTGCACCCACCAGGATAACGCAAAATCTCCTCGCGTTGGATTTTGTAAGCTATGTTCTCCGTACGGTTGAGTCAAAGGTGGAGCACGACCATGGGTCACCGGTGAGCATAGAGATGCGACAATCACTCCTATCGAGGTGTATACACAAAGCAGACGTTGGGTCCGACCAATATGATTTGGGCTAGCGATCTATCAGGTAGAACCAATTAGGGAACAGCTGGAAAACGCTATCCATGGTGTACATCGATTGTTATCTACCCCGCATCTCGCCCCAGCCCGAATAAACATACAGCTTCTTAATTGCGTGTGCGGGAATGTAAAATTAAGATAACATTGAAACCGTAGCGCATATCGATAAGGTCTCTCAAATGGCCGAACAAAAGAGCATACTCACTAAAACAACTTCAATGTTAATTGGGCGAGGTCGTTTTTGTCTAAATGTTTTGTTTTCCAATCCACCCAAAGATAGCTCCTTTTTTCTTTAGATAATACTAAAATTTATTTTCGTGAAATGGTAAATTGTTTCGGGCGGGGCTAGTAAACTGCTCATGTGTCCACCGCACATTACTGTACCAATTACAAACGGGTGAGAGAACGCTTCATCCACTGACATAATCTCGAGGAGACAATGGTGCCAAACCATCCACATCGTATAAATAAATAACTTACTCGGCTCGTGCCTCCGGTTTCTTTTCTTCTTCCTTTTTACTCTCCGGTTGAGTCGAACTGGTTCCCGGCTTGGGTCCACTGCCGCTGGTTTGCGGTTTTCGCTCGTCACCCTCCTCGTCGTGACGGCGAGGAATTAATCCCAAAGTTCTACAATAACCTTCATATGTGATTACACCCTCATTTTTCGGGTCGAATAGACTGATCCATTTGGACACAAATTGCTCTTTGTAATGCATACGT